ATTCTAACTACCTACCTGCCTTTAAATTACAAGAAATTAATTAGAAATTATATCCATCCACATATTACATGGTCATTAGTAGTAATTATTTAAAAAGTTTTACTAGTGATAATTATCCGCAGAGTTTCTTAATAATTAATAGTTTAAAAAACTTAAAACACGCTTTTATTAACTGCACTAAAAATAAACAAAATATACTCTTTGTTTACTTCATTAGGGCCTTAGAGTAAGCCAAGTTTATAGTTTATTTTCACATATATATAGAACAAAAAAAAAGCGTGGGGCGCAATTCATTGCAATATTTATCAAATCAATTAATATATTACGTGATTCATATCGCTTAACAATTTAGTTAAAATTTAACAATGAAGCGCCCCACGCTTTCTCAGTTGTATGTTATTTATTTTATAACATACAACTGATATAATTTTATGTTTACTAAGTAGGCCGTCCAGGATCCATCAGCCACCTTTTAGACCATCGTCTGGTCCTCGTAATCGAAGAAATGAACAGAATACGTTAAGACGAATCTACTGAGCCCAAACTCGATATGTTTACTACTAGGCCGTCCAGGATCCATCAGCCACCTTCCAGTCCATCGTCAGACCAACTCGATGGTACCATAATATTGTATTGTCATATAATCTACATATAATTGCCAAGTTTCATGATGATACAAGAATTAGAAGTGCGTATAATTCCAATTCTTAGATTTTATTACATAGTTACAAGGCGACCTAATAAAAGCGTGTTAATAAATAAATCAATCAATAAATAAATGAATATTCAAATTCTATGGGTTTTAGTACTGTAAAGACGCAGAATCTTATTATTAATAAAACACCCAGAATTGTTTTAAAGATGTGTACTATTAGCTGAACGCACATATAGATATATATCCAACATCCAAGTGAAAATATTCTAAACCGTTGGAAGGACCCGGAAAAATTCTAAGAACCGTTAAATGAGAAAAGGTACCAACTTTGGTCACGTATTAAGGCATTAGTATTATTTGTATAATTCAAATATTTATACCCATTCTGTTTAACGGTGAAGGTAATATGCGATGTCCTACTATCGTTTATACAGATTGTTTCAAACTAAAACGGTATTAAACTAATTTCGTAGTTGCGCCCGAGAAAATGGTATTCCCCAGATAGAGTGCTTAAGTGAAATGGCCCCCGTTAAACCCTGTCCGAGTGTCGAGCCCGATTTATCGACACTATAAATTTCTGCTAAACTGCTATTTTTATACTTTTATGCTTCTGCGTTTTCTCATTCTGTGGGGACATCGGTATGTCTTATAGTTCAACTTTATCTTCGTATGTATTAAAATCCACATATGGATCGTATGTGGATTTATTCAAATTCTACCTCTTATTACCTAGGTTGGTTGGCTAATTGTCTATTTGATTAAGGTTATATACTACCTAGGCAAATTATGAGTGAAGTATTGATATGCATATCCATGCTCTAATTACTCGTAAACTAAATTTTGACAAAGGTTTTTTTCGCTCTAATAGTTTCGCTACAGTAAAATTTAACTTAAATTTGACTTGTCACGTCGAATATGTAGTAAATGTGTAACATTTTGCCAAATGGTTATTTTTCTCTAGTATTTTAACTAAGTATAGTCGAATTTAACTATAGATGAAACAACACTGTCATAGATCTGAGCTAAGCCGTGAACGGATATAGCAGTACTACAAAGATTCCCACTGTAGGGGTCTGACCTGCCCTATAGATAGAACAGGAAGATTTCATGTATACCCAAAAAGGTAGAATTTTCAGAAACTATATCTAATCTATTTATTTCTTATGTTTGCACGCACACCACTGGTAAAATAGAAAACTTTTAATCGGGTTTAAATGGGTTTTTAATACTTTTATAAATATCTCTGCGTTTCTCTACACTTGAAAACACGTCCTGGAAAGGATGCGAAAAGGAGAGATATTCATTAAAGTATTAAAAAACGCATTTAAACCCGTTGAACAGGTTTATTTCATCTGCTAACTTTTAGTAAAGGAAACGCGCTTAAAACCAAAAATGTGAGACATAAAACAACCGTTAATCTTGTCGCAATATAGAAAGGACGTACTCCATCTATTATTAAGGAATAATAGTTAAATTTTATATGAAATCAAATTACTGTACTTCTGCGTTGCTTTAAATTGTAATAACTTGATAGTTGTGTTACCCAGAGATATACTCTATAATCAGGTTTACAATTCATTTGCATTTGTTTCAGCACTTTTGGTTTGATGCAATAACAAACCCTCCCTATTTTCTTGTATACCTACTTTTATCTTTACTATCCTTCTATGCTTTCTCTTTCAGACTTCTGCCCGTGCCCCTGACTGTATCAAATAGCAGCCTCGAGCACGGACAGTATATTATTAAACATGTTGAAATTTGATTAAAAATAACATAATTAAAAAGACATATTATAAATAATCGAATAAAAATATTATGAAAAATAAAAAAAAATAACAAACATACAGACAAACGATAAACCAACAGACAAAACCAAAAAAATATATGTATAATTGTCTTAGAAGGTACTTGTTATACTAATACCTCCTACCTATTATTTTTTGGAAATCTATTCAATGTACAGACAGACACGCGAAGCTAACGTTCTTATCATATGGTTGTATAGATTATAGATTTCCTTTTAAATACGAATTTGTTCAGTAAGGCATTTGGACCCATCCAAACAACGGTCCTGTGATTAAACTCCACCGTGAACCATTTCAATACAAGTATTCACATTTCAGTGGCTATCGTCGGTCGATCCCCATTTTGCTTAACAAACAGCCCCTCAAGTATTTGGTACGAATAATCATACAGCGAAAGGTTCATTTTTGTAACTGACAATGGATATAATACGAGTCTAAGATTTCTTACCATAAAATTTATAGTTACATTTTTTGTTACTCTAAGTAAATATTACTTATCATTTTGTTGCAATCTTTTAAACAAAAAAAATGGTAAATTAGGCCATACCTCCATTATTATTATTGGATCAGATTGGTAGTAAAAATCATCTTTCAAATAAGGTATATAATGCAAATAGTTAGATGCTTTAAAGTTAAAGTGTATAAACATCACTTCCCATTCCATTGATAGGTTCCCAGTACAGTATGGAAGACTCAATAATTTTAAATATGAACTTACCTATATTCAGGGTTCCGTACCCAAAGGGTAAAAACGGAACCCTATTACCAAGACTCATCAGTTCGTCTGTCTGTCTGTCACCAGGCTGTATCTCATGAACCGTGATAGTCAGACAGTTGAAATTTTCAAAGATGACGTATTTCTGTTGCCGGTGTAACAACTAATAATATCCCATACAACAAACGTGATTTTTTCCGTTTTTTGCTCTATATTAATAACGGAAAAAGGTAGATGCTTGAAATATTCACAGAATATTTATTTGTTAATTTAAATTAAAGATAAATAATTAAAATAAAATAAATATTTAAGGGGGCCTCCCATACAACAGACGTGATATTTTGCCGTTTTTTGCTCGATATTATAATATAGTGTCTAATTTTATAGTAATATAAATTATTTACGGGATTGTTACCATGTACCTTGTTTTTATCGGAAACTCGCTAAAAACAAGGTACATGGTAACAATCCCGTAAATAACTTATATTACTATAATGTTAGTGACCATGAAAGTTTAAAATAATATATAGTGTCTAATGATATATGGATAGTATGGAACCCTTCATGCGCGAGTCTGACTCGCAACTCGTCCTGGTTTTTTAAAATAAACAAGCGTATGGCCAACACGATGTTAAGCTGCCACCTAAGCCTATAGACGCTTGCGATACCAAAATTATCACTTGCCTCGTTGCCTACCCTGACCCAGTCCCCTACCCCGTGGAGCTCTAGAACCTTACTCACCGATAGAAAAACAAGACTACCAAAAGGTAGTGTTATTCTTCTATTAGGTAGAGGTTAAAATTTGAGCATAAATCTGCTATGCCCCTTCTCTCTTAAGTAACACCATGGATGCACCCTTTTCTCTCAACGGAAAACATGGGTAAACTCTTTTTATTAAGGAGTTTCCTTTAGCATGCTCGTTCGAAGAAGCCAGTATCCAAGTCAACGCATGCCAGAACTTTGAAAATTAATCTAACCCAGCGAAGTTAAGCTTACTCTTTACTGTTTTTTTATGGAAGCCTGCTACTTTACGGATCGCTTCGCAGACTTTAATAAGGTGTTTTATCCTTAGACATAACTTTTTCTCCCGTATATAATGAAGGATTGAGTTAGGATTCGTTTAGCCTTCAATTAACGTCATGCTTATTCCACACCTGCGTGACAAAGCTTTGGTTGGCTTTGGTACCAAAATGCGCTAAAATTTGCATTCGAACTTTTAAGTACGCTCCTTCAGCTGTAAATATTGTTTCCCATAACCTCTTTTACGCGTGTCAAACTGTCGCCAGTCAAGCTATATATTCATTTCGACAGAACTTATTCAAATTTCGAACGCTAATTTTATCGCATTTAGTACCAACGGCACCCCAAGGTTCGTCGCACAGCCCCTCTAGCATGACCACCGAAACGGGATATGATAAAGTGATATATCGGCATTAACTGTCAGACTACAGTGGAGTTTGACAGTAGTCTGACAGTTAATGCCGATATATCGCTTTATCATATCCCGTTTCGGTGGTCATGCTAGAGAGGCAAGTGTGGGAGAAGCATTACGCATATCATTAGTTTATTTTATGTAGTTTTCCGGGGCGTTTTCCGCACTTAGTCCTAATTATTGGACCATTGTGCGTGTCTCGTAACATTCCCGTTTATTTCAGCCAACCTAGGTTAGTCCAGAGGAACAGCAGCCTTAAGCTACAGGCTTCCGGAAGCAATGCTAGCGACTGGAGATGCCGTGCCTGTTGTTCGGCCGCACTGCATTTTATGATGACATGCTGTGATGTTTCTTCTACCCACATGCTCTGCATAGGGGGCTATCTTTCATTACTATTGTTTATAGGTGTTTGAAGCTCGCGGAGGTGGGGTCGTGCTACTGTGGGGAAGGAGAAGTAGAGGACGCATACCATGCTCTGTGGGAGTATGTGCTCTACCGGTAGGCGCGTAGGGAACTTCTTGACAGTGTGAAGGTGCTGGAGGTTGGGCCGGCCTACTATCGCGACCTTGTGGGATCGGAGGCGAACTTCAGGCATCTACAGGACTTCGCGCGTAGATGGCACAGGATTCGGAGTGGACTCAAGGGAAGCGAAGAAAGAAGACAGGGAGCAATACTGGAGGCTAGCGGTACCACTTCATAGTGGGCACGGGACGGCTGGAATTCGCAACGAAGGCGTTTCGTGTGCGTCCGTCCCAGAAAGGGGAGAGGGACTATAGGGACAAAGGAGACAGATAAAGAAGAATTTGTAGGGATTCAAGAAAGTGCGCTCAGTGGAGGCCATTCCGCGCGTATTTCCCGCTGCTTCGGCCTGCATAACCAAGAAGGTTCGCCAGGCCAAGGGTGGTTGGTGGGATTTGTTTATAGGTGTTTTTAAGAGGACAATGACTAGCCAAGACACCGGAACTGCGTTTTGTGTTTGCCAGCATCCTTCACCTGTCTGTTTTCCACTCTGTCATGTGTGTTTTCTGAGATCTTTTACGCAGTCACGTTTTAATTTGGGCCTGAGGTATGGGCAGTTTGGGCAGCATAGGTTCCGGACCATACCCTTTTTTGTCTGCTCCTCTCTTAGCCAGTTCGTCTGCAGCGTCGTTCCTAATTGAGTTGCTGTGCCTTTTATACATTGCTGCTGTTGCAGTGATGGTTACCGCAATGGCTTGAAGTGCATTGTGGTACTCCATTACCAAGATTTATTATTAATGAGTTGCTAAGTAAGGCTTGAACCACGGATGCACTGTCAGAGGTGATTTTAATATTAAAGTCCCTGACGTCTCTAGCTACAACCGGCTGTACCGCTCTGGAAATGCCAATATATACCGTCCGGAAGATTGTGCTTAGATTGTGTAAAGTTGTTGATATTTTTATATTCAGGTCGTTCGAGAAGACACCGGCTCGAGTACCGCTGTTAGTTTTGGAGCCATCTGTGAAGCCCTGTCCTTACTTCTCCGGTGCCAGAACAATACTTAATAATTTTCCGTGGCAAGTTGGATGTCGTATCTTCGATCAAAGACATGTTGACCCAATATTCTATCCATAGGAGCCTCCAGGAGTGGGATCTCCTTCATTCACATTGTAGAATATTGGAGTGTGTTGTTACAATCTCCATATACCCAGAGACCTTTGTCTAAAGGATGCTGCTTTTGCCTCTTCTTGTATGACCAGGTCTAGGGGTCTTAAGTTCAGGAGGTACTCTAATGCAGCTGCTGGAGTTGTTCTCAGGCATCCAGTTGCTGCTACACTCGCCAAGCATAGACTTTGGAGTTTGGATTTCACTGCGGTCAGTTGGGTTCTGAGCCACCAAACAACTGAACCGTAGGTTATTGGGGCCTGATGACTGCTGTGTATGAAAACAGAGTAATCTTCGGACTGAGACCTAAATTTTATCAATAAGAGTATACTAATTAAAAGCTTTGCATGCCTTCTTTGTTTTTAATTCGATATGACTCGCCCAATTCAGTTCGTTACCAAGAATTACGCCCAGATATTGACTGTTTTTGTAACTGTAGTTCTGGTAGCTTCCTTTTGTTGGTGAAAAGGATAAGTTCTGTCTTCTACAAGTGATGTTCATCACACCATTCTTCCATAATCTAAAGGGCTGAACGCATTTGATGTCATGGTATATTATCTACTAAGGGGTTGGCAAAACTTCAGTAGTGCATAATAATAAAAATTAACATTCTTTGAATTGACTTATCGAAAATTATTTTCTAATCGTCTAGGTTGATTGAATAGGCTGATGATGATGATAAGGAATAAAATGAGATCAACGTCAACTACTTGGGCGTAAGCGCAGCTGGCAAAAGTTAATATGAAACGCCCAATGTCCAGGCTAGAAGCATTACCAAAAGAATGTTACATATATAATAACTACAGTACTACACTTTTTGATTGAATCCGTATATTTCTACCGCTCAGTTCCACTAGTAGGACCAAACAGAGAAAAACGCTAAATTCAGTAGTTCTTGGTTATCACGAGAAATAAGTGGAAAGCAGTAATTTCTTCTTTTGAAGTTATGTTGCACTGGAACCTACCTACATAAAATATTCAGTCATATACCTACACAATATCGTTAAACCACAAAAGCCATCCTTCTACACAATCAGTTGTTCTTAAACATTCCTCTAACACACACTAATGCTGATAAATTTATTATATTTTACTGATTTATGTTCGTTTAGTAGAACTCATTGTAAAACCACTCGAACTTCAAAAGGTTTTTATCCGTTAATTTCTGTCAGTAGGACAGAATATTTTTTTTATCCGTTCAGTTCTACCAGTAGAAATTAATGGATATTTTTCTCCGTTTAGTCATACCAGTAGAACGAAATAGTAGAACTACACAAATACAATCTGAAGTTTAATTAACGTCACTGAAAAGTCAGAAAGGAAATAGCAAAATTCCATTGCCATTTGACTGAAAATAAATAATCATCTAAATTCTATTACAATAATTGAAGATAAAATGTTGAGCAGCTCTTAAGTAAGTAATTGATTGTGAACGAAAAACCCTTGACGTTCCATATCTTCCTACAAATTTAATTATTATATAAATGGAATTTAATTATTTGCTATCCATTTCAGCAATTCTACTGGACGATTCCAATTAGAAACAGATATTATTGAAAAATTATTTGCTTTTCACAAAAGCTTGTGCAATTAAATTTTATTCTAATTTAGACAAGTCCGTCCGTCCGTGGTGCTGTTTCAGCGGCCAAACCGTAAGAGATAGATAAAGAGAATGTGTAAGTTATAAGTTAAGAATAGTCTGATAAGACTACAAACCGGATTTGAGTAACGTAGCACTTCCGGTTTTCGAGAAATCACGTGATTTCTATTTCAAACGAAACCACACAAAATCTCCGAAGTTCTCAATTAATTAAATACATTTTTTTTTTTTGGTGAACATTTGGTTCACTGGTTTGTTAGTCGAATATAATTGTATAGGCTGTATGCCTGTATAAATTTATAGCGAATACAAATTGACAAGAAAGGAACTTAGCCTTTGGTCCATTTTCTTAACCATTTTTCTTAACAGTTAGGAAAAAAGTGAACAAAAATTCTTCTTTTGTAGATGGTTAAGTAAAACGGTTAGGAAAATGGATCAAAGAGAAATTTGGTGATGGTGGAAGAAGATCGTCCCGTTATTATCTCAACAAAAATAAATCTATACTAATATTATAAAGCTGCAGAGTTTGTTTGTTTGTTTGAACGCGTTAATCGCTGGAACTACTGGTCCGATTTGAATGATTCTTTCAGTGTTGGGTATTCCATTTTCAAAATTAGGGATCCGTAATAAAATTGATATTTTGTAACACAAGGTGTAAAATCGAAAACCTATTTTTGCGTGCGCTGCAAAAACTATTGACAATAGAACAAAATGATGTACTACGGGTTTGTAGATCCCATTAAGACCTACAAAAAAGTCTACGAGAACATATATCTAGCTATCATCACAATAACCGATTTTGTGTTCAAAATAATGATTAAATCGTCTGAAGAAAAAAAAAACTACGTTAAATATGTATCGTTATATTAATCTTTATCGAAATTAAGCATTATGTTATCAAGAGTATTTATGTAGAAGTAAAATACTTTTGTTTCATTTCAATCGGATATTTCGTTTAAAAGTTATCACGTGTGTAAGATGTTAAGAGTTGGTACCTATTAATGAGTTATGGGCCATAGAGTTTTTTATCAACATTAAATCCTGTAATAATCTTTTTCGAAATATGAAAAGTTTGGTTGTTCGTTATGAACGCAGTAATCTCGGGAAATACTGATATGATATGAAAACTGTTTAAATATTCAATAATCCATTTATTGAGGTAGGCTATAATATAGGCAATATTTTATGTCGGTATTTCCACGGAAACGAGCAAAACGCGGGTGAAACCGCGGGGCACGGCTAGTCTAATATAATCGTCAACACCATTTATCACAATGATTGATGATTTGTTAGTTATATGAAATTAATGAATGATTTTAAGACCCCACCCAGTCTGTAAGCCCATTCCGAACAGTTACATGAAATTAAAATACTTAAACGTAACTAAAACGGCAGCAGATGAAGGGGCATCTAAAAAATATACACTTGCATTTAAGTTTAATACCCACAGAGACACACGTTCAAATATGTAATCCACTGAAGTAAAAAAAAATGTAGTCCATACACGAGGAAACGCTGCTAAAAATGGCAGCATTCTTCGCTTTTTTCCATCCCCATAGTAGGGAATATTATAACATGTTTTCAGGTGTTTTCACGTGTGATATAGAATTGTAAAATTATGCATATGACGTCTTATCTTCCTACTCACCCATCTGAATCTCATACAAAATGTATTAATCAATCTACAGACTCCTAAATATTCATTAACATGTAAAAGTATAAAAGCAAAGATTCCAATCGTTCATTATCATTATCAAGTTACATCAGTTGTGAGAGTTAGTACGAAGTTACCAGAAGACAAGCAACAATCACATCAAGATGAAACTATCACTGTTCGTCGTTCTGGCTATTGTGAGCATACTGGGTGAAACATCAGGAAAGGCCCAACCCCAATATTTCTGCGGCAGGCGATTGGCAGATACACTAGCCCTATTTTGCCCATCCACTGAGCTGGTCAAGAGATCAAGCAACTTACATAAGAGTCATTACTACCCTGCAACTAACGGCGAGTTTCCTGACAGTGAGTTTGGTGAAATGGGTCTGCTTTCTAGTCCACATTTTGCTGAAGATGATTGGATGTTTCGTGGTGGTCTGAAAAGTGCTCGCGGTAAGAGAGGAATCGTGTCCGAGTGTTGCGACAATCCTTGCACTATCGAAGAACTGCTCACCTATTGCTAAAATAATTCAAGAGGAAATACTAACATTAATAATTTTCCACGTTTAATTTTGTTCTCCGTGTTCATCATTATTTGCTGGTATATTCCGTTCAAACTTATATTCCTACAATAAAAATAAAGTACTGAAACTTTCCTTGTACTATTTTTTTTTTAATTTTGGATTAACAGTCACAATATGATCGCTTTATTCATTAGCGAATTCTCCCCATAGCACACCTCTATTTGGAGAGAATTTACAGTAGCGAAACTAATGACATGAATTACGTTTTCAATAAATTAATTTTTAACTTGTGTTTTAATCTGGAATAGAGTTTTTTACCCAAACCCGTATATTATAATTCAACATGATAATAAAAATTAACATTATATATCTCTGTTATCTATTTAAACTTTATCATTGTAAAATAATTTTGTTACTTGATTTATTTTTACTGCTCTAGACGTTTGACCCTATAAAAAGGGCTCAAGTAAGGTGGGATTACTTCACAAGATCCAAGGTTGCCCCCCTTATGTTATTCTGCTCGAGTAAATCTCAAAATCTCCGCTTGGGCTCCACTACTATTACTTAAAGATCAATCTTAATCATTACGGAGTTCTCCAGGGTAATGCTATTAGCCCTTTACTATTCTTGACCATGACATATCTCATCATCAAAACATTCGTTGCAATAAGACAAAAAACAGCAAGGGCAAAGCCTTATATCTTATTTCAGATTGTCAAAACCAGTTGTGTTCAGGGCAATTTATGTTTTTTTTATATAAACAAAGTCGCGGCGTGACCTACTTTTCCATTTCGCTTGTCATTCGCATTAAGGCTTGTTTCACGGAAGATTGTCAACTAGCTATGCATTTTCTGTCAAGAACATTGATGTATAAAAATTGCATTGCACCGCCAAGTAACTTAAGCTTGATCTAAAAACAAGATGTGATTAAAATGGATATTAAAGTAAACATTATTTCATTAATAGCTTCACCAAAATATTTTTAAAATAAGCTCTTTAATAATATAAACTAAATTAAATGTAGCTTACCGAAATCCACAAACAGCCGTCTTAACAAGATTTTGAATTAAGGCACGTTAGTATCCTAAATTTATCAAAAGTATACCATAATTCTCGATGAGGAGCTCGATGGCGCAAGTGGTTAGCGCGTTCGGATGCGATCGTTGAAGTTAAGCAACTTTCGCAGTGGTTGGTCTTTGGATGGGTGACCAAAAATTTACTACCTCGAACTCCTCTGTGCTTCGGAAGGCACGTTAAGTCTTTGGTCCCGGCTGCATCTGCAGTCGTTAGCACCCACCAATCCGCACTTGGCCCGCGTGGTGGGTCATGGCCAAATCTCCCTATTCCATCTGTAGGGAAGGCCTGTGCCCCAGCAGTGGGGACATTAATAGGCTGATGATGATGATGATACCATAATTATGTTTAAAATATTACACGTATCATTCATTAATAGTGCACGGAAATAGCCAATTAACAATCTGCGGACAGCCTTTCATTGAACACGTTACAAATCCTTTATTATGAAGGCTCGTAGGTGCCGCATGGGATCTCAAAAATGATCACTAGGTACTAGGCCTGTAATAAATTACAGTTAAGACATTTACCCTCAGTAGAGATGAACCCAACCCGTTCGTGATAGAGGGCCATTCAGTCCCTTAAGGATATTGGCTCTACCGGTGCGGTGCGACCCAAGAAAAGTAGTTTGCGAAACTTAACGTATTTCCTTACCACCTTTCATTTATGTGTTCTATCTTTTTTATTTCTGTATAGTGATTCAATCAGTATGATATGATTGTCAGCTGTCATATAGCTGTGATAACTACTTCGATTTCCAAAACTGTAAAATGTTGAATTTTTGCCAGCAAGGTAACTTCGTCTGAATTCAATTTAGAATCCAAAAAAATGTAAGAATACCTTAAATCGGGATAATAGTTCTATCTAATCTACTCCCCCGAACAATAAAACCTGAACTTAGTAAACTTTAAAATTAAGGTACAAGATCCTAAAATTTTCCAGGATGTTAGGTAATACATACTTGTAGATGATGTAGCAAATCAGGTTATAATATATGTACCTATATGCCAAATTTAACTCAAATATATACAGCCATTTGTTTCGTTCTTGAGTAACAAAGCTTCGGCCATATAAACTTTCACATTTATAAGTACTAGTGGCATTTTGTGCATTCAACATAGTTTTCAATATAAAAAGGAACAATAAGCATACGTTTTTAAAACATACAAACTCTTTATGTCAGAAATTATGACTATCGTAAGTTTATACCCAATAGAGTGGGGTTACATAGGATGCGGCTGTGTCCCTTTATAAGAAAAGTTCTTTTGACTTCTATCTATACTTTATAAAAACGTTTCTGTAGTCAATCCAATTATTGCAGTAGGTCATGCGTGAGTTAGTGATACGCATGACCTTTTAAATAAAAGGAAATTCAGTAAAGTAACATTTGCCAAAACGTAAGAGACATGCTAATTTTTTTTTTGTCAAAATAGTAGAAAACATGCGTTATTTCAAGCGATCATCGTTGCTTATAGACGTTTATGATAAGTGCTTGCGATACCAAATTATCACACAGATACTGCCTTGAAAGTATTTTTATAAAAAAAAATGGTACCCTGCCAATTTCTAAAGAGAAAAATAAAATCTATCAGTACAATATGGATATCAAATTGAAACACCGTATGAGCACAAGCAATATGATTCTACTTTTCTAATATTGAATGACCAAAACCAAATAATATTTCTTCAATATAACTGAGCACGCAACTAACATATCAATACATTGTAATTATTACTAACCTTGAAGTAGGAAATGACAGAGTGATTTATTCATAAATCGACAATCGATTACTCGATTATCTATTGTCTATTCGAACAGAACTATTGAAGTGAATTCGTAACAGGTTAACGTAAACCGAATACTCGAGTGGAGCTTCGATGTCGAATGCTGAAAAGGTTTACTTGAAGTTGGTATTACTTATATTGTCTTTAGCAAGATAATTTTAATTTTACGCTTATATAACCAGAGGGGCTTTTAGGACCCTCCATCTTCCAGCGGGTTGTATTTCATGAACCGTTACATGTACTTATATGATTTTTTTACAGATTTTTTAAGTATGTGTATTGCTGGCCGTAGTAAAAATTAATAAAATAGATAAAGTTAAATAATTATAAGGTAGAAGGGGTAATATATTGTTTTAAACTTTCATGGTCACTAACATTATAGTAATATAAGTTATTTACGGGATTGTTACCATGTTCCTTGTCACTAAACACTGTCTTCACTCCTGTGCGTAAGGTTTCACAATACCTACGGTCTCCTAAAGACAACTTCCCCTTGGAGAAAGCTGGTGTCTATAAGATTGATTGCAGCTGTGGCAGTTCGTACATTGGCCAAACAAAGCGAACAGTATCATGCCGAATGAGGGAACACATAAAAGCAATCAAGAACAACGATACGCAGAAATCAGCCATCGCGGAACATTTGATTGATTCTGGTCCTAACCACTGGATTGAGTTTCATAACCCACAGATTATCTCGACAGAACGCCATACATACCAAGATTGGTCAGGGAAGCGATTGAAATAACAAAACATAAAAATTTCAATCGTGAGGGCGGGTTTAAATTGTAGAGTGTAAAACCGGAAATAGTCAAAAAAGTGTCGTGTCGCGATCCGATACTGTAAGTGTTGTGTGTCGAGAACAGTTTCGAGTGAATAGTGAGAATGTGAACAGTGGTACGGGTATGGAACGCAATAAAAGACTTCGTCGGAGGGTAGACCGATATGTCTGCCAATAACAGCCTACCCGCAATTACTTCAGTTACTCCGTGATCATGGCGCTTGCAACAGTGGCGAAATATCGGAAACTCGCTAAAAACAAGGTACATGGTAACAATCCCGTAAATCTTTATATATATAATTCTTCTGTGAGTGTGTTTGTCACTGAACTTCTCTTAAACGACTGGACCAATTTTGATGAAATTTTTTGTGTGTGTTCAAGGGGATCTGAGAATGGTTTAGATTCACAATTTTGTCCGCTGGACAACCCCTATTATTTTAGGGCGGTACGAAGTTCGCTGGGTCAGCTAGTAACTTATATTACTATAATAGAAGGGGTAATAGGGCCAATCTCCTTATTCCATTCTAAAGGGAAAACTTGTACCCCAAAACTAGGGCATTATGGCCTGATAATGATGACAATGAGGCATTATGTGCCATTGATATAAAAAAACCTCTATCATTTTAAAAGAGGAAGGGCATAGTGGATTTTCCGCTTGAATTAGAGCGCCCGTCTGGGGAAGTAACCTTCTACCTACAAAAAATCACAGTAAAAAAACACTACCTTTTTGTTGGTGTTGTGTTTCTGTCAGTGAGTAAAGTTCCAGGGTTCCACGGAGTAGGGAATTGGGTCAGGGTAAGTAACGGTACGAGTGATAACTTTTGTATTGCAAGCGTATATAGGCAATGATGGCCGCTTGCCATCAGACGGGCCATACGCGGAGAAACTCCTATATTTCCCTCATTCAAAATTTTTGTTGGAGTTCGAAATTACTCAATTATGTTATTGCTAGTTATTTCTTGCGTGGAAATATTGGTCTCCATACAAACTTCCATCCTCCTATTCACCCCCTTAAAGCATTATTTCTGGGATAAAACTACCCTTTGTCCTTTCCCGGGACACAAACTAACTCCGTACTAAATATGATCTAAATCGGTTGAACAGACCGACAGACAATCACACTTTCGCATTTATAATATTAGTATGGATAAGAAACTCACACTTTACTAAAAACATAAAATAAGATATCTTAAGATAAAGATATATTATGAGGAGCAGACTGCGCAAATGGTTAGCACGTTCGGCTGCTATCATTGAAGTTAAGCAATCTTCGCAGTGGTCGTTCATTGGATGGGTGACCAAACATTCACTATCTCGAACTACTCCGTGATTCTAAAAATACGTTAAGTCGTTGGTCCCAACT